ATACACTAACACACACAAACACTCATACATACACTAACACACACATACACTAACACACAAACAAACACACACATACACTAACACACAAATACTAACACACACATACACATACACACAAACAAACACACACATACACTAACACACAAATACTAACACACAAACACACACATACACATACACACAAACACACATTTTAAAAAAAAAATGTAATCCCCCCAGCCTCCTTACCTTTTGGAGTGCTGGGGGGATTCCCTGGGGTCCAGTGGTGCTGTTGGGCTCCTGGGCGGGTGGCCGGTCGGACAGGAAGGCGCGCGCGCGAGGGAGCACTCACTGCTTCCTCTTCAGCTCCCTCGCGCGCCGCGTAGGGATGCCGGCGCCGGAAGATGACGTCATCTTCCGGCTCCGGCATCAGTGCGGTGCGCGAGGGAGCTGAAGAGGAAGCACTGAGTGCTCCCTCGCGCGCCCGCCTTCCTGCCCGACCGCCCGCCCGCCAGGGTCAGCGGGGCCCACGGGGCAGGTGCCTCGGGCCCCCCAAGAGAAACTGGGCCCGGGGCAGCTGCCCCGTTTGCCCCGCGTTAAAGACGGCCCTGTATACATCAGCTCATTGACATAAAAGCACAAGCTCACTCACTAGCAGGCACATGCATGCAAGCAAGCTCACTCACTAGCAGACGCACACACACAGCTTAATGTGGTGGTACTGGTGTCTATAGCATGTCCCTACAGGCTTTTCAACGTAAACACTGCCTTTTCAGAGAAAAGGCAGTGTTTACATTGCTTCAAAGTGACACTGCTAGTGACAGTCACTCAGACGGTCACTAGAGGTGCTTCCTGTGTTAGTGCACCTACATTCAGGGCCTCCACACTCTGTAGGTGCTGAATGTTCCCCATAGAGATACATTGATTCAATGCATCTCTATGAGGAGATGCTAATTGGAGTGGCGTTTTGCAGCCAATCCTATGGCAAAGCATTGGATTGGCTGAGATCATCAAGCTTGATGATCTCAGCTATAGAGGCAGGGCCAGTCGAGGGAGACCAGCACGCTGCGTGGGGAAAAAAAAAAGGTGAGCAAAACACTATTTTTAAACACACATTTACACCATGACAGACACAGAAACACACATATACCATGACAGATACACACCCCATTACAGACACACACACACCATGACAGACCATGACACAGACAGACACACACCATGACACAGACAGACACACACACACACCCCTGACTGACAGACAGACACACACACACACCCCTTGACGGACAGACAGACACACACACACCCCATGACGACAGACACACACACACACCCCATGACAGACAGACACACACACACCCCATGACGGACAGACACACACACCCCATGACAGACAGACACACACACACCCCATGACAGACAGACACACACACACCCCATGACGGACAGACACACACACCCCATGACAGACACAGACACACACACACCCCATGACAGACAGACAGACACACACCATACAGACAGACACTATGACACAGACAGACAGACACACACACACACGCCATACAGACAGACACTATGACACAGACAGACACACACACACACACACCAACCATACAGACAGACACTATGACACAGACAGACAGACACACACACACACACCATACAGACAGACACCATGACACGGACAGACAGACACACACACACACACCATACAGACAGACACCATGACGCGGACAGACAGACACATACAACATACATACAGACAGACACAGACACACACAACATACATACAGACAGACAGACACCATAACACTGACAGACACATTACTAGTACCTGACACCAGGGGGAGGTCTGCTGTCGGCCGCTGGGGAGGTCTTCTGGCGGCCGCTGGGGGACTTCGGCTCCTGGGGCCAGGCAGACACCTGGGTCTGCTGTCGGCCGCTGGGGAGGTCTTCTGGCTGCCGCTGGGGGACTTGTCCTGGCGGTCGCTGGGGGGAGCTGCGCTGTCTGTGCTCTCCCGCCCTCGCACGCTGCTGAATGAGACCGGTGCCGGAATATGAGGTATCCCGGTGGGCCAGTCCGGCCATTCCCTTTATATTTTACCAATAGCTGCAACTCTCTGTTAACTTCTTTTAGCCATCACTTCCAAACTCCCCCTGCTACCTCTTGTCTCAAATCCCCATTATATCCTTTAAATTAGATTGTAAGCTCACGGGCTATCTAGCTAAGCACTTTGTATAAAAGAGCTTCAATGGCTAGATTTCAGCTTACGGGCAGGGCCCTCTCTACCGTCTGTATATGTCTGTGTATATTGTACGTTTTCTGGAATTTGCTGGTGCTTTATAAATACCAGTAATAAAGTAATAGCAAAGAAAATAGCAGTTGTCTTGCTTGCAGGTTAGAAGGTCCATTGTGTCCGACATGACGTGCATTCCTTATTATTTTAAACTGCTCTAGAATGATGCATAGAATAGATCATTTCTCATGACAGGGTCACTTTAAATGATACCTGTCTTTTAAAAAAAATATATATATTGATATCATCTTTATGTTAAAATAAACCATCACTTAAAGAGAAACTATCACGTTCCTGGGTTTTTAATAATATGTCATACTGGGACAAACATTCAGGCCACACATTCAATTGTAGTGCATCAGAAACAGAAAGGGTGGGTCAGGGAGGGGGCATGTTATACCATCAATATGTGTGTGTGTATAGGTACAGTGCATATATAGCGGATATAGAGTGCATGTATGAGGCGTGCAGTCTGTGTGTGTGTCTAGATCCAGTGTGTATATAGAGGGCATAGAGTGCATGTATGAGGGGTGCAGTGTGTGTGTGTGTATAGATACAGTGTGTATGTAGAGGGCATAGAGTGCATGTATGAGGGGTGCAGTGTGTGTGTATAGATACAGTGTGTATGTAGAGTGTATAGAGTGTATGTATGAGGGGTGCAGTGTGTGTGTGTGTATAGATACAGTGTGTATGTAGAGGGCATAGAGTGCATGTATGAGGGGTGCAGTGTGTGTGTATAGATACACATGTGTGTGTATGTACAGATGTAGAGTATAGAGTGTATGTATGAGGGGTGCAGTGTGTGTGTGTGTATAGATACAGTGTGTATGTAGAGGGCATAGAGTGCATGTATGAGGGGTGCAGTGTGTGTGTGTATAGAGGGCATAGAGTGCATGTATGAGGGGTGCAGTGTGTATATAGTGTAGAGTGCATGTATGAGGGGTGCAGTGTGTGTGTGTATAGATACAGTGTGTATGTAGAGGGCATAGAGTGCATGTATGAGGGGTGCAGTGTGTGTGTGTATAGAGGGCATAGAGTGCATGTGTGAGGGGTGTAGTGTGTGTGTATAGTATGTGCGTATAGATACAATGTGTATATAGTGGGCATAGAGAGCATGTATGAGGGGTGCAGTGTGTGTGTGTATAGATACAGTGTGTATGTAGAGGGCATAGAGTGCATGTATGAGGGGTGCAGTGTGTGTGTGTATAGATACAGTGTGTGTATATAGAGGGCATAGAGTGCACGTATGAGGGGTGTAGTGTGTGTGTATAGCAGGTATATAGTGTGTGCATAGATACAGTGTGTATATAGGGGGTATAGAGAGCATGTATGAGGCGTGCAGTGTGTGTGTGTAGTGTGTGTGTATAGATACAGTATGTATATATGGGGTATAGAGAGCATGTATGAGCGGTGTAGTATGTGTGAATAGAAGGTATATAGAAGGTGTAGTGTGTGTGGGGTGGGGGTACACAAAGTGTCTATGGCGAGTGCAGTGTGTGTATAAGTGCAGTGTGTATAGGGTGTATAGTGTATGTGTACAGGGGTGTAATGTGTGTATGGGGATTTACTGTGCGTACGTGTGTGTGTATACTGGGTGGGAAATGAAATTTAATCATTCACTTTTAAATAATAATATATTTTTTTATTAATTTAATACTTGTTTGCTGGTCCAGTGGGCTGGGTATATGGTTGGCACCTCGGATATCTGCACTGCACCTCCGCTGGGTGCAGGCCAAGGGTACCTGTGACAATGCTCTGATTGGCTAATCCTTGCCATACAGATACAAATGGTCTGCACTCACTACCCCCTTTTAGGGCCCTCCACCGCACTACAGTTCACAAATCCAGAAATCTGTGATCTCCCCACCGGCCCAGTATTATTATTATTATTATTAGCTACCAGTATGAGCTGGCGGGGGGGGATCCTTGGTCAGGCTTAGCCCATGGCCATCGTGGCCCTACCCAGGAGCAGTCTGGCCCTGCTTATCCTTATATTTAAAATATGTACCGGTATATGCGAAGTGTGAAAAATAAAATGTAGAAATCTTATCCAGCAATTGGTGGCCTCCATCTTGCTTTTCAAAATAGCCTGACACATAATTCTGCAATCAGAGACGGTCCATGATTTGGAAAAGCTATGGATATTTCCAAAGTAGTGACCTTTGGCTGGAATAAACTAACAATTTTACCCAAGGTGCAAGATGGCTGTCAGAACAAGGTAGTCAGAAAGGTGGGCAAGTGATTTCTTCAAACATTTCAACATACATTAAATTAAAAATCAAGAGACGTTATATTATATTAGAAAGATTGTATTTAGATATTTTTATTATAATTTTCTTTTATTGGTTTTATATCTCAAAGAGATAAATGAGAGCATAAGTAAAAGCGCAGTGGTTACTACAGACACAAAATACATTAGTTGTTGTTCAAGAGGTATCGCTTTTTAAGTTGCTATTACAATATAGGGAATTTTGCTTTTTTGTACATTTTCTAAAAGGGTATAACAAGGGATTGAGGTCAATAAAAACAAAAACTTAATTTTGCAACTTCTCATTTACATCTGTGCATCTTTACATGTACCCTTGTGTTGATCGTAACCTATCGTCTCTGTTTACAGCTCAGGTTGCAGTGTAACCTCTTCATAAGTCTTTTCCTTTTGCTAGATAGGGGTGTAAACTCGGGGTGAGAACACTGTTCGTCCGTATATGCCATAACGTTGTATGTGAAGGCGTGTGAGGTTAAATATTTGTGCTTCAGTTGGAGCGGGTCTCAGGTATCAGGAGGAGGATTGGGTGGGGTTTGTCACCCCCCTGTTGGTTAGGCATGAATCCCATAATCTCCATGCCTCCCTCCAGAACAGTTTGGGGGGTTTGGTCTGTCTAGCCATAGCCTCATATGACTTAGTGGTTTGTACCGTTTGGATACTTAGATTAATATCCGGAGAGGCCTCAGAAAGCCAGGCTCTACTGATTGTAGAGAGAGCTGCTACTATGATATGGTAGGAGAGATATTTTGCAGGTTTTGGCATGTTACTTGGGAAGAGTTGTAGTAGGTAGGTTTCCGGTCATAATGGTATCGTTACCCCTGCTGAGTCCTGTATTAGTTGCCTCACTGTTTCCCAGAACTTTGTAACTTTTTGGCACATAGTGCCCGGTGCTGATTTGCATCTCCAGCACAGATCTGACCTGTTAGGGTCCATGTGTTTGAGCCGTGTAGGCACCATATACCATCGGTAGAGGATCTTTCTGGTTAATTCTATATGTGTAGCGCATAGGGTAAGTGTCTTGTTAGCTAGGTAGATTTTGGACCACTGTGCTTGGTCGAGTGTCTCCCTGAAGTCTGATTCCCATGCTCTGGCAAAGGAGGGTTTCCCTGTGTGAGGTTGTTTTGTAATGAGTGCATATAGCGAAGAAATTATTCTCGTGGGATTTCGTTGTTGAGTGCAAAGTTCCACGATTTGAGGTATATGGGAGTTTGTTGTTCTGTTTGTTTCTGTAGCTGTTATGGGCAAGTGCCTTGTGAGCCAAGATTTAATCTGGAGATAGGAGAGAAAGGCAGATTTGGATAGTCCAAATGTAGTTTGGAGATATAGGAATGAGTGTACGGTTTGGCCATCTAATAGTTGTTGTATTCGGGAGATTCCGCATGCGGTCCAATGTGCCACAGCGAAAGTGGGGAGAAGGGGCGTGATTGCAATAAGAGGGGTTGTTGGCGAAATAGAGACTTTTTCTTTGGTTTGTTTTTGGTGTGCATCCCACATAGAGAGGGTTAGGGATGTGGTAGGTAGTATGTGGTCGAATTTGGGTCTGAGATGGGATGGGAGCCACATAAGTTCTTTGAGTGTGTGGTTTCCTGTGTATGAAGCCTCTATATTAAGCCAGGTCGGCAGGGTTTTGGGATGGTGTACGGAAATTAATGGGTTCAATTGCGATGCTGTGTAATACTTGGCTATGTTGGGTACGCCTAGGCCTCCTTCCTTGAATGGTCTGTGGAGAATCGTAGCTGCTACCGTATTTAGATATTTTTAATGTATTGTAGATTATAGTTTTACCACATGACAGGAGGCTTCATATTTGCATATCTTTCTTTACTGAAAACTCCAGCAGCATAGAAACAGTAACAACCAATCAGAAAAAAGATATGATGCCCATAAAAGGCCCTGACTATGACATCACTTCCTCTTTCTTTGCTGCTCCAGCCTACACAGGTCAGAGTATTTTTTCCCTCTATGGATACTTAATAATTTTGTACTGCTTTTTCTTTATTTGAACTTATTTTACCTAAATTGTTTTCCCTGGACCTCCTATACCTGTTCCCCTCCCTCTTAACTCTCCTTTCTACCGAGCCTTTTGTTTTTCACTGATCTCCTGTGCGGTCCGCGGGCGCCCGGCTGCCGTGCCGTGTGCGCTCCACGGACCCACCTCATAGACTCTCAGGGAGGGTGTGGGGACGGGTGGAGGGAGGCCGGGCCCCTTACCTTCTACACCCCGCGCTCCGGACCCGCGACCGCGAGCTCCGTCGCGCTGCTTCTATCGCGAGCGGCGGCCATCTTGGATCTCGCGGCTCGCGAGATACAAGACGGCCGCTCTGTACGCTCACTGCGGATCGGGATTCACCCGATCAGCACTCCTGCTCACCCCCTAACCTTGTCCTCCCCCCCCAAGTGCTGGCACTAGCTTGCACACACGGAGTATTAAAGGACTCTGGGCCCATTATGGTTATTATATATTTTTTTCATCCTCAGAGACCCAGAGGTTTGGGAGGACAAACAAGCATGCATTACAATTGGGCAAGTGCCAATACACAGCAAATGTAAAACATATACAGAACATTAAAGGAGACTGAGCACACTGATATACCCTACACTGGGTCATACTGCATTACTGTACCTATAGGTACACACAAACGTGGGTGTCCTCTGTGTATTTTTTACATGGCACACCACCTGGGGTGACCCCCCAGACAAGCATGCTAGGTCACGCAGACCATTTACTATTACGTGGGTGTCCTCTGGTATCCATGGCACACCACCTGGGGTGAACCCCAACTACATGCACGTGGGACTACGCTATTACATTAATATTTATTATTATTGATGACAATCCGTGCATACGGCTCTGATGTACAACTGTGGTGAGTCCATACGCACCACCACCACTGACACATACCGGACCACCCTGCCTATAGGGTGGCCTTATCGAATCTCAGAGCCTTACGTTCTGCCCCACTTTAGAACGGGCAACTACCCTGGATGAACCCCAGTTGTACAAGGAGCTGGGCACTCTAGATACCCATATCTAGCATATATCCTGACATTTCGCCTCTGTCACCCAAACAGGAAAGGGAAAAACCCCACTGAGCCATGGAAGACACCCAAGCCACACAGGATTTCCAGGCTATGATAAATGCCGCCGTAGCGGCCTCAGTGGAAAAAGCTCTCCTGAGAGCGCTACCACAAACCCAGGGCGACGCCAGCCCTTCAGATCCGATGGAAGCCTCTGGCTCGGAAATATCCAAGGCAAAACGGCAACGGAAGGGCTCTAGCCCCCCTTCCACTGTGACCAAAAGCAAAACGTCCGTCAAGCGTCCTAAGAACTATGAACAACGACTGTCCAAACCACAACCTCCGCCTTCCTCCGACGAGGACGACTTCTGTGCGCCTCATACCCTGGACGTAGTGGACGAATGGCGTGAGGAAGGCTCCCATTCGGATGAGGAAGAGTGGCAAGATTTTCCCACCTCCTCAAAATACGTCAGAGAGACGGTACTCGGTGACGACCGGGACAGAGCAAGCACCAGTGGCACCAACCTCGGCAAGACAGAGGACGGAATGTTCGTGGACGATCTGGGAAACCCCCTCTTCGACCCCCGAAATATCCGACACCCTCGCTCCTCGGAGTGGAGCCTCCCGGACCACCTAACGAAGTTCGCACACTACTGGCTACGTAAGCCTCTGGAGAAAGAGGTGCGAGCACGCCTCAAAGCCGAGTGCCCCAGACCACTGCTACCCGACAAGGTAGCACTCACGCCCGAATTTGATAACACGGTGGTGGTCTTCATGTCACGTTCGGGACGGGACCCCCGAAAAGGCGTGGAAAAAGGCTTAAAGGCGGCACAGGACAAAGTGCTAGATTTACTAGGCCCCATCACCAAGATGCTGTATTTTGCAGACTTAGCGCTCAGCCAGGGCTCACAGCTGGACCCCAATATTATACGGGAATGGGCTCAGCGTTCAATTTGCCTACTGGGCAACGCAAACGCGGCATTGTGCACCGAAAGACGCAAGTCAGCGCTAATACGCATAGACAACAAGCTCCTGGATCTAGGGGCAAAGGAATTCGGCCCGAAGGCGCAAGGCCTTTTATTTGGCGACGATTTCATCACGGAGCTTAAGAAGCACGTCAACCTCTTCACCACCTTGAACAAGGCTCAAACCTCGCTCAAGCAGGTCTTCCACACCCCCGCAGGAAGAGGTGTTTTTGGGAGGGCTGGTCGGCAACGGAACCGAGCCACCAGCCGCTTCTGGGCGACAGGTTCCAGATCCTACCCGCAAGCTCCAAGCTTTTTCCCGTCCACAACACAGAGACCATCGTACAGAGGTACGGGAAGAACCAGAGGCTTCAGAGGTCGAGGACGCAGCCGTTTCTCTAATGGTGAGTCCATTTACATACCAATCTGTGTCCAATTTTGTAGCAGGTGGCCTGTCCCTTTTCTTACAGAACTGGCGACTCATCACCACGGATGCCTGTGTTCTCCAGACGGTGAAAGGCTTCGTGATAGAGTTTTACACGCAACCCATACAAACCACTCCCCCTACTCCGATGCACATGTCGGCGGACCAAAAGCGCCTAGTAGACGAAGAGATTCACACACTCTTCAAAAAGGGCGCGATCCAATTCGCTACGAGAGAAGGAAGTTTCCTAAGCAACATTTTCCTAGTCAAGAAGAAAACCGGCGACTACAGACCAGTCATCAACCTACGAAACCTGAACACCTACGTGGTGTACAGGCACTTCAAGATGGAGGGAATACATCTGTTACAAGACCTTCTCACCAGGAACGACTGGTTTACGCGTCTAGATCTCAAAGACGCGTACCTATCCGTACCGGTGGACACCAACTGCCGACGCTTCCTTCGCTTCCTATGGAGAGGACACACATGCCAGTTCACATGCCTGCCGTTCGGCCTCAGCTCGGCTCCGTGGTGTTTCACGAAACTGCTGAGACCGGTGATGGCTCACATTCGAACGTTGGGCATACGATGTCTCGTATACCTGGACGATTTGCTGATTTTTTGCGAATCCGCTTCCAGACTACGATCGCAGACGAAATTTGTAGTTCACTTACTGGAATCCTTGGGTTTCGTAGTGAACAGGCAAAAATCGTCTCTCTCTCCCTCCCAGTCGATCCAATTCCTAGGCTTCGACATCGACTCGAAGGACTGTGTGTTACGACTACCGACAACGAAGATAGCCTCAATACGGAAGGAAATCAGACGGGTACTAAAGATGGATACGATACCGCTCAGAATGCTCGCCCGGATAGTAGGGCTTCTCTCATCCTCCATACAGGCGATATTCCCGGGGCCCCTACACTACAGGGCCATGCAACGACTAAAGGCGAAATACTTACGCACGGGACATTCATACGACCACTGGATCCCACTGTCGACAGAAGTGAGAGCAGAACTTCGATGGTGGTTACTACACATACAAGCCTGGAATGGCAAGGCGATATTCGGCCCGTCCCCGGACTTCATCGTGGAGTCAGACGCCAGTCTGTGGGGATGGGGCGCACACTGCACAGACGCCTCCACGGGAGGCCCATGGCAAGGGGAGGAGACGAACCTACACATCAACTGCCTGGAACTGATCGCAGGATCCTTCGCGATCCGCAGCCTGGCCAAAGACAAGTCGAACTGTTGCATTCTGCTCCGCATGGACAACATTTCGGCGGTGCAATACGTCAACCGCCTGGGCGGAGCAAGGTCAAGGGCACTAACAGAAGCCACGAAAGATTTACAGCTTCTGCCTGACACGGAACATCACCCTACAGGCGGAATACCTGCCGGGAACCTCCAATCTGACGGAGGACTGGTTCTCACGCCACTGGCGAGACAACAGCGATTGGAAACTCAACGAGGAAGTTTTCAGGGAGCTACGCCGACAGAAGGAACCACTAATATTGGACCTGTTCGCCTCCAGGACGAATCACCAACTACCGAGATACTACAGTTGGCTTCCAGACCCCAAGGGCGAAGCCGCAGATGCGTTTCTACAAACCTGGCCCATGGAAGGGGGATACGCTTTCCCACCATTCTCCATGATCCCACGCGTACTCCGACACACGCGCATTCACGGGATATCTCTCCTCCTAGTGACACCCCTCTGGCGGAGTCAACCATGGTTCCCAGAGCTGCTAGAGATGTCTCAGGAGACCCCACTGCTGCTTGCGAACTTCCCTCTACTTCTGACGGGACCTCGAGGGGAAACCCACGATCTCGTCCTGAACAGACAATTAGAACTGGTGGCCTGGACGATTTCAGGGGATCCTGGTCGGTCATCGGCCTATCACAGTCAGCTAAGGATCTCCTATGGGACTCATGGGCTCCCGGC